ACGGCATTAAAGAGAGAGAGAGAGAGAAAGAAAATTTAATTTTTTTTGCCTACGTCACTGAATTCGCGCATTTTTTTTATTTTATTGGTTTTTGTGTGTGTGTGAATTTTGTACGTGTCGATTGTTTCTGTTTCTATTTTTTTTTTTTTGCATTTATATACGATTTGAAGGTTTTTTCTATCGTTGTTCGAAAACGATTTTCCACACGAGACGCCTACGTGAGAAAAAAAATTTAATCACCTGGTTGGTTTTTGGACAAATTTTTATAAAAAAACACGTCGATGCATGATGATCGGTTGTTGTTGTTGTCGTTGTCGTCTTCGTCCTTTTTTTTTTGATTGGTCTTTCTCCGTCGCAGGGGGTTTTTTATTTCTTCTTTTTTTTTTGTTTTTTTTTTTTAGAATTTTTTTTTTATTTGTTGTGGTATTGTGTCCCACGGCTGTAAGTGAAGGGTTGTCGTCGTCGTCGTCGTCGCCGACGCCGTCGACGTCGCACACCTAACACCCCGTTAACTCGAGCATTCAAAAAATTTTTTATCCTTTTTTTTTTTGTTATTGTTTTCCTGTCTCTTTTTAATTTGTTGTAAGTCGGGATTTTTTTTTTGTGTGTGTGAAAAGAAAATTCTAAAAAACCTCAGTTGTTTCGTATGGAAAAGTCAAAAGGTCGCGTTTGTCGTGTTGTTCATTGTTTTTGTTTTTCAGTTTTTTTTTTAACAAAAAGAGAAACGACACCATTTTGTTTTTTTTTTTTTTTTACGTTTTTACCTCGTTACTTTTTTTTTTGTATTAAATTTATTTAAATAAAAAAAAAAAAAACTCGGAAGAATATTAGAAAAATAAAAAAAGAGAGAGATAGATAGATAGAAAGAGAGAGAGAAATGACGAAAAAAAAAAAGATTTAAATGTTTTTTTTCTCTCTCTCACGACGCTCCAGAGATTTTTTTAAAAAAAAAAAAAAAAAAACTTTTCCACCGCGAATAAAATTTAGTTGTTCAGAAAAGTTTTTAAATTGTCGTCGTCGTCATCGTCGTCGTCGTCGTCGTTGTTGTTATTGTTGTTTGTTTTCCCTCATTTAATATGATAACAAGAGTCAATTTTTTTTTGAGATTTTATTTGACATGTCGTGTCATGTCACATATATATATATATATATATATATATATATATATATATATATATATTCCTTTTGGTCCTTTAATTGCGACACCTTTTTTTTTTTCTAACGTGATTATTGTTATTATCATTATCGTTATTATTATTATTATTATTATTATCATCATTATCGTCATTATCGCGAGAAAAAGAAAAAAAAACAAGTAAATTGTTTTTATCCATCTGGTGTGTATTTTTGTCGTCGTGTTTTTTCCGATAAGGTTTTTTTATTACGAGCGCCATTTTAAATTTTATGCCAGCCAGCGAAATAATAATAATAATAATAATAATAATAATAATAATAATAATAGTTAATATTTAAAATTACTTTCTTTTTTTCAGTCGAAAATTCTCGAAACGTAAAACGATGTTGAAAATATTAAAAAATTGTGTGAAAAATTCTTAATTTTTACTTTTTTTTTCTCTCTCTCTCTTTAACGAGGAGAAATTTTTTAATGGTGGCACCATCTTCCTGTTTCTTAAAAAAAAAAAAAAAAAAAGAAAAGCAAAGAAAAAAATGAGCACAAAAACTTTTCACAACAAACCTCCGCACATTTCTTTAAAGAAAAACAACGACACGAGTAATTTTAATTAAAATCAATATTATTATTATTATTACTACTACTTCGACTTTGCACCGAACGAATCGATTTCACACTGGAACTGGAAAAACTGGAATATAAAAAAAAAAAAAAAAAAAAAATTCATCACGATCATCGCGTTTTTTACACTTAGGATAACAAACGAAAATTTTCCCGTACACTAATTTCGAACTTTAATATTATTATTATTATTATTATTATTATCATAACAAAAATTAGGTAAAAAAAGAAATAAAACACAAACAAACAAAAATGAAGAAGAAGAAGAAGAGGAGAAAAAAAAGACAAAAAAGACAGAAACGAAAAGAAAAAGAGTATAAAATATACGTACTGTCGTTCGTGCGATGAAAATCAATCAAATAATGAATAATGCGAGAATGACAAAAACGTAATAATGTTGACGATAAAGGAAAACGAACAAACGAACGAACGAACGAACGAACGAACGAACGAACGTACAAACTAACGAAAGAACGAACGAACTAACAAAACAAACAAAACGTACGTACACGCACGCACGCACTCACACACACACACACACACATACAAGATGAGAGAAAAAAAATTGAAAGAAACGCGCGGACGAAAAGTGTGTGTGAGAGAGAGAAAAAAGATTATTATTATTACTGTTGTTACTATTATTATTATTATTATTATTATTATTATTTTTTCATACGAACGGAGGAACATGCGCAAAACGAAGAAGAGAAATGAAGTAGAAAAGAAAGAAAGAAAGAAAGAATGAAAAACGGATGCGATTTTAATTGAAAAAACATCGAAATCAGTTTTAAACGAGACGCGAATTTATCGCGAAGGTTTACGCCACTGAATCGAAACCTTAGTAGTAGGGAACACAAAAAAAAATGAAAAAAGGTAATTATAATACGAACAAACAAACAAACAAACAAAAGAAACAAACACAAAAAAACTGAGAGAAGGGGATAAAAAAAAAGAAAAAGGAAACGAAACAAGAGAAAAAAAAAAAAACCGTTTACCACGTCTCGCGAAATAAAATTAGTAATAATAATAATAATAATAATAATAATAATAATAATAATAATAATAATAATAATAATAATAATAATAATAACAACCACAAACTTTAAAAAAAAAAAAAAAAGTTTTAAAATCACACCTTCACGTACGAACGAACGACGTATACGAAGAGTGAGAGAGAGAGAGAAAGAAATAGAGCAAACGTTTGTTCGTCGGTTCGTAAAAGCTTCGCACGCGTCTGTCTTTAACGTTTGAACAACCGATAACGAATAAGGTTCGGTACGAATTAAATTCGTTTTGTCTGGTGCCACGTGAGAATGAAAAAAAAAAAAAAAAAAAAAAAATTTTTTTTTTTGCAAATTTGCGACGACTCCGTCCGTTTTCGTGAATCGGAAAAGAAGAAAAAGAAAGAAATAATAATAATTTTAATTTTGTTTGTTGTTTGTTCGTTTGTTTGTTTTCTTTGACTTTCGTTGTTTTATTCCGTTTTTTTTTTTTTTTTTTTTTTGACTTGTTTGTTTGAATTGATAAAACGTCGGGGTTTTAAATGTGGTTGTCAATCAATCGATCCGTTCGATGGTTGTTGTTCATCAAGCTGTTGGGCTAAAAAGTCTTGGGATTATCTTCGTTTGAATTCTGTTGTCGGTCTCGCAATAACACAAACGATATTTTGTTCGATTAGTCGATTAATCGCACAATGAAACGATTCGATTATTATTATTTCTCTCTCTCTCTCTTTTTCGTTCTTTTTCTCCTTCTCTCTTTCTTTTTTTTTTTTTTATTCGTTTTTTTTTATTCGTTTTTTTTTATTTGAATTTACTGCAGCGTTTAGTAGATTTTTTTTATACATTTGGAAGAAAACGGAAGTCGGAAGCGGAAGAAACGTTACGTAAGGAGGAGGAAAAGGAAACGGAAATGGAAAGAATTTCGTTTCGAAAAAAAAAAAATTATAATTAAATTATAATTAATTTCGTTTTTTATAAAAAAATTTTTAAATTCGTTTTCGAATTAAATTTTTTTTTGCGCTTTTGTTTTTCGCGTTTCGTGAGACGCCATTTTTCCTTTTTCCTCCCTCTCCCTTCCCTCTCCTTCTTAAAAAAAAAATCGTGGAATTTTCGTATTTTGTTATTATCGGATATGACGTCACGATCGTCGTATTTTAAACGTTTTTGAATTTTCGTCGGTGAAAATTATTTTTGCGATCGCTTTTTTTTTGTACTCGACGCGGGGGATTTTATGTGTGTCATCATAAATTTTTTATTTTTGAGGGAGTGGAGGGAGATGATGATGATGATGATGATGTAAATGAGGTGGTTTATCTAAAAAAAAAAAGAAAAAGAAAAGTTTTGCGTAAACCTTTTTTCCCTTTTCCGGGGAAACCGTAATTAATTTCTATGCGGCATAATTTACATTTTGTGTCTTGTCTGTAATAATTGAGTTTTATTCATCCGCCATGTTACAATTAACGAATTAATATTAGTTAATTTGTTTTCGTTTCGTATCCGTTTTAAAAAGTCGTCGTCGTCGTCATCCTTTCCCCCCTTCCTCCCTTCCCGTTCGTTCTTCTTCTTCATTTTCCACGTTTTTCTTTTCCGCTCACTTATTGTCACTCATTAATCGTCGCGTTACACCTTTCATAAATTTTTTTTTTTTTTTCGCGTTTTCCCTACTCGTTACAGAATGGATTCCGGAAAACGTACACGTATTATCATCATCATCATCATCATTATTACGTAAAAAAAAAATTAAATTATTACGTATTTTTATTACGTAAAAAAAAATTTTAAATTTTAAAAACATAAATCAAAAAAAAAATAATTAGCATTTCTTTTGTTTCTCTTTCTTAAAACAAAGGGAGAGGGAACGAGGAGGGTGGGGGGAGGGCGAGGAGGAATCTTTGACATTTTGGCGACAAAAAAATAAAGGACATTTCGTAACGGGAAAAAAATTTTTTTTGACGTAAATTTTAATAACGAGATGATTTTTTTGTTTTTTTTTTCTTCGTGAGTGATTCCTTAACACGCCACTGTGTTTTAAATAATGCCTTGTTAATAATCAGTCAGGTTTCTTTTCACATAAAGCAATAAATCAAAAAAAAAAAAAAAAATTTTTTTTCCTCTTTTTTTACTCGTTTTTTACTTCGTTTTATTTGTTTATTATTATTGTTGTTATTATTATTATTATTATTTTCTCTTTCGCAGGTGGTGGAACCCTCGACACGTTGCTGTCGACGACGTATTGCAGGTCTCAAATGTATCTTTCGAAACAGTTGGCACAACTTCATCCGGAACTCACGATGCCAATGTTTTCAGGTAGGAATTATTACAAAAAAAAAAAATTTATTTATTTATTTATTTTTTTTCGTTTTTCTCATGTTGGTACGATTGTTAAATGGTATCCATCGTACTTGACGGTGATTCGTTTGTGTTGATGAGTGTTTTTGAAAATTTTTTTTTTACATCAACCATCCGGAAATGATGAGAAAAGGAAAATAAATTTTTTCTTCTTTTATATAATTAATTAAAATTGTAATGAATTAAAAAGTTAAAAGGTGAAAGGTGAAAGGTGATGGAGGGGAGGGGAGGAGGAAAGGTTAGGGAAAAAAAAAGGGAAATGTTTTGTAATTTTGGCATTAACGAAAATTAAAAGAGAAACAAACAATTACTTAACCATTCCGACGCATAAATGGCGGTTAATTTGATTTTGTTTGTTTGTTTGTTTTTGTTTCTTCGGTTGTTTTTGTTTCTTCGGTTGTTTTTGTTTTGTTTTGTTTTTGTTGTTGTCGCTAATGTGATGAAGGCACACGTTAGATTTTCGTACGATTTGATTTGCGTTTCCTCAAAACCTTTTTTTCTTTTTTTCTTTCCCACTCTTTTGTTTCGTTTTTTTTCTGTATTTCCCTCTTTCTCTCTCTCTCTCTCTCTCTTTTTCTCTTGTCAACGTCGACGTATTTACAAATCGAATCTGATTAGTTTAAAAATGAGAGAGAAAGAGAGAGGGGGAGAGAGATTTAATTTACAACAAATGATTATTTATTTACATGGGACGACAAAAAAAAGGTAAGACAGAAAGGAATGGAGGGGGGAGAGGGGAGGAAGGAAGGAAAAAAACCTGTAACAAATTGTTTCTTTCTCCTTATTAATTTCCATTTCTACGTCACGCGTATTTTTTTTTTGTACTTTTCACTTTTTCTCAACTCGTTTTTGTCCTTTGACAAAAACAAAAAAAAAAATGAAAAGGATTAAAAAAATAATAATAATAATGATAATAATAATGATAATAATTTTAATTTAAAAAAAAAAAATTTGCAATTACCTTTGTTTTTCTTAACGTTTTTCCTTCTGCCCCTCCCTCCGCCTCCTTCTCCTCCCTTTTGCGTTTTAATGGATTTGGTTTTTTTTTTTTTTTTTTTAATTAAAAAAAAAAAAAAATTTCAGTTGAGCTTTTTCTTCCATCTCTCTCTCTTTCTTTCTCTCTCTGAGGTTCTCGTTTTTCCGAAAGAGTTAAACCTGAGCAAAAGTGAAGGGAAAAGAAAAAGCGGGGAAAATGTCAGAGAATGAAACGTGAATGAATCAAGTAAAAAAAATAAAATAAAAAAAAAAAAGGCTATGGAAGCAATTTGAAAAGTGAATTTCTCTCTTTTTCTTTTTCTCTCTCTTTCTCTCTTTTTCTTTTTCTCTCTCTTTCTCTCTTTTTCTTTTTCTTTCTCTTTCACTCTCGCTTTCTCTCTCTCTCTCTCTCTCTTTTAATATAAGGGGCACGAGTTTGGTTTGTTTGGAATTCTTCCGTTCTTCCAGGAATGAGATTAATGTTTGATTTTATAGAATCCGTGACGGTTTAAGGATATCGTAAATTGATTTTCATCGTTATTTAACATCGGTTCAAGTTTATTTGATTAAAATACGGATTTGATTTATTGTCGTCGTCGTCGTCCGAAATCGTCGTCCAAAGTTGTACGTTTCCGTTTTTTCATTTGTTTTCGTCTTTATTTTTTCCATTCGTGTCGGAACCCGCCATGTTTTGTTTTTTCTTTCGCATTATTTTTTTTTGTTTCTGTGCTTTTTTTTTCGAGGGGGGAGTGGAGAAGGGTGGTATGCGTGAATTTTTTCCGAAAAGTGTGCGCTTCTTAACTCGACAAATCTCGAATTTCCAAAAAAAAAAAAAAGTTAATTATCATTATTATTATTATTTAATGGAATGTTTCCAAGAAGGAATTTTTTTTCCTTTTCCTTTAATCAAATTTTTTTGGCTTACACTTACCGTCTTCTGCTCGTAACTTTTTAAAATTATTTTTTCTATTGGCTCATTGATTCCACCTGATCTTTTGATTTCCTTTAAGTTCTCTCTCTTTCTCTCTCTCTCTCTCTCTCTCTCTCTTTCCAAGTCTTTTATGCAAACATTTATTTTTGTGTTAAATATTTATTCATACGAAGTCATAAATTTTTTTCTTTTCTTTTTTTTTATTGCGATTATGATATTTTTAGTTTTGCCGGGATTTTTTTTTGAATTTTCGTTAAAACAGGTTTGCCAACATTTAAATAAATAAAAATTAAATTAATAATAATTAAAAGTTTTTTTTTTTTTCAATTGTGGCGCTCAGAATTTTCGGGTAAAAACAAATTAAAATATTATTATTATTATTATTATTATTATTATTATTATTATTATTATTATTATTATTATTTTCTTCTTTGTCACATTTTCGTCATCATCATCATCATCATCATCATCGTTATCCCCGCAAAATTGTTTTAGAAATTTTAAGTATTGAATAAGTAAACAAATGAATGGATAAAAATGGATGATGTGATGATGGTGGCGGTGGCGATGGCGGTTATGTAAATGAAGATGATGATGATGATGATGATGATGGTGATAATGATAATAATAATAAATCAAACATTGAACTTGATTGTTTTCTTTCCCTTTCGTCCGTCGTGAATAATAAAGGCGAAAAAAAAAAAAAAAAGAAAAAGTTCAAACAAAATTTTGTTTGAACTTTTTCTTTTTCTTTTTTTTTTTTCATCAAACAATTTTTTTAAATAGTTTTTCCAAAAAAAGTTTTAAGTGTAACAGGAGCAAAAGCGGCAGCAGCAGTTGGCAGTAACGAGTTTCTCATTATTCTTTTTTTTTTTTTCAATAGCCTCAGGAATTAAATGAGCTAGATAGATGGAGATGATGAAGGGAATGAATGGCGGCGGTGCGTTTTTTTTTTTTCGGAAGAGAGGGTGGGAAAAAAAAATTTTTTTTTTTTTTTTCTTTCGCCGATTCAAAAAAAAAAAAAAAAAAAAAAAAAACGGACAAAGTTTTTTTTTTTTTTTAATTATTATTTTTTATGTTCTTGCTTACAAAGTCAGATTAAAAATTTTTATAAACAAATTACGTAACGATATTATTAACGTTGGCAACCCTGGCGATTACGTACCTCAATCAATAAAACATTTAATTTTTTTTTTTTTCTGTTTTTTAGAAATCACGTACAGGTTTCAAACGGCACGACCGGAACTTCGTCAGCTTCTTTTACAATATCTTCTTCCGTGGTTGTACAACATGGAACTCGTCGATCCGAAAGTCCCCCCGGCGAATCCCCTCTCGTATTTTCAGGTTTATCGTTGTTGTTATTATTATTATTATTAATAAATGACGTCGGAAATTAGGTTCGAATGACGACGGCGATTCAATCGTTTTCAAATTTTTTTTTTCCTTTTTATACAGTACTATGCGAACGAGGTGAACAGAGCGGGTACAAGACGTGAAGGTTGGGGTTCAGCTGAAGCTACCGAAATGGTTCTTAACAATCTTTTTTACTTAACGGCAAAGGTAATCCCCCATCTCCTTTATCTCGGAACTCCGTAAAAAAAAAAGGAAAAATGTTCGTTTGTACGAAGTCACGTGGTCATTATTATTATTGTTTTCGATTGTAGTTTTCTGACGAGCATCCCAAAGAAATCGAAGAATTGTGGACGACGCTTTGTTCCTGTTGGCCGAATAATTTAAAAGTCATCATAAGGTACCTACTCATTATATCCGGAATGGCGCCGCAAGAATTGTTGTCTTACGTAGGTTTTACGTCATTGTTATCCACTAGATTTGTTATCAATGGTTTGACGTTTTCGTCATAATGATTTAATTTTTTGATTGTCATCAGACGAAACGAGTCGTTTTGTATTTGGCTCGTTCCCGACCCGACAGGTTGCTCGATGAAATGATGAACGAGTTGCAAATGGTCGAAACGTTAAATTGTTTAATCGAAAGAACGGAAACTCCTCCGTTTTACAGATTAACAAGTATGAGAAAAGCATCGAGTCATTCGGACGGTCCTTCAGGTATGGCCGGTCAAAACGATACCGGAAATAGAAACGAATTAGGGGTGGAAAAAGGAACGATACACACGAAAAGACACAGCGGAGAAGATCCGGTGAAAACAGGGTGAGCGGTTAATGAATTAAAAATGTCGTAACGTTTTCATCAATTTATTATTTCATTATTATTATTATTATTTTAGAACGTCAAAGTCTGATTCTGCTCTCCGATCGCTGTCTAGTTATTCGAATCACAGATCTGAAAAAGGTAGGACGACGTCTGGTCCGTCAATAGTTGCTGATGATGCATCCAATCAAGTCGTGTCTGAACCTCAAGTTGTTATCGAAGATGGATGCACTGTTCTCAGGAACGGACAAGGCGATAGGTTCGACGTACCTCAGCCTCATCCTTTACCTATGCCCGAATATGGCGGATATTTTGCACCGCTGACCGAATATCTTCCCGATTGTTCTCAACCCATCAGCGGTTTTCATAGGTAACCAAAATATTTTTTTTGGTTTTAACCCCGCATTCCGTGATTGATTGATTGATTGTTTTTTGTTTCCCCCTTTGTTTTAGGTGTAACGTGGCCGTAATGCTTTTGACTGATGTCGTGGTGGACGGCGTTGAAGTCGATTGGTCCATACATGTTCCTTTAATGCTTCACATATTATTCCTCGGTTTGGATCACACGAGACCCCTCGTTCACGAACATTGTAAAACGCTCCTCCTAAATCTTCTCGTCGTTCTAGCGGATCATTCCGATCATTTAACGGTCGCACAAATTCTTCTCAATTCGAAAACGAAATTATTAGGTTTAGGACTCCATATCCCTTCTCTCCCGGTAATTAATCACAATTTTACCGAACCCGATTCGAATTTCGATAGTTACCTTCAAGGACCGGCTCTGCCTGTACTCGTGCAGCAGCCAGGAGTAGGAGTAGGAGGAGGAGGACCACCCGTCGTCGAAAGCGGAAATTCAACCGTTCCCGCCATTGTCACATCTGACGTCATTTTAGAATCTTTAAGTGTCAAGCCGGGGCCTGACATGCCGATTCAGGACGTTGTCAAATCGCTAATTAATTTCTTATCATACAGGTTCGATGTGCGATGGGCGATTCTTTTTATCAATTCTACCATTGAAAAGGACATTTGTTCAAAGGTATTTTTTTCATAGGCATAATCAGCCTCTTTGGAGTTACGAAGACATCACGGCAAAAGTTTGGTCTATCAAATCGGCCGAACAGCTCGACACTTTTCTCCAGCACGTCCACCGCGTTTTCAGAGATTCACTACCTCTTGCGGTTATAAACGAACGGTGGGCGCAAACGGCTCTTCAATTAGGACTCTCTTGTAGCTCTAGACATTACGCGGGACGCTCTCTTCAAATATTTAGATCGTTGAGGATTGCCATCACTTCTAGGATGCTTTCGGACATACTCTCGAGATTGGTTGAAACCGTTGCGGAACAAGGAGAAGACATGCAGGTGAGGTCAAAAGTCACACGTTTTCTCGCACGCTCGCTACGTCATTTTTTTTTTTTTATTAATTGATTCGCACTTGCCCCGATAGGGTTACGTGACCGAACTCTTACTGACCCTGGAAGCCGCCGTAGATTCTCTGGAATCGGATTTCAGGCCTTTGGATTTTATGAAAGAAATATTTAAATCAACTCCTAATTTGAACAATAAGGATTCGATGGGAGGAAAACGAAGTCTTTGCGGTAACATGGGATTGGGTCCTTTGAATCCGAACGCGGGTAGAGAAGGACACACTAGGAGTACCAGTTACAGCGTGTCTTACTGCATGAGAAACAAACCGGGTTCTCCAGCGTCGGAAAATAAAGGTTTTCTATTTATTTTCTTTTTCTCTCTTTTGTTCGCTTATCGAAAATTAAAAATTTTCTTTTTTTTTGTTATTCCAGACATACGTGCGAGAGCTCACACGGAAATAGAACCCAGAACGGGTTGCAATTTAAAATATCCTACGAATCTTTCGAGGTCAAGGTCAGCACAGTCTTTAAAACTTTTGGGCGATTCATCATCTCAAGATGACAAAATGACAATACTCGCTCAGTTGTTTTGGATAGCGGGTAAAAAATCGAAAGGACAAAGGGAAAAAACCTTTTTCTCGATGATAAATGAAATTTTTTTTCTTTTTCCACGTTTCTTTCAGTTTCCCTTCTTGAATCGGATTACGAGCACGAGTTCCTTCTCGCGTTGAGACTTCTCTCGAGAGTTTTGCACAGGTTGCCATTGGATAGACCCGATGCGAGAGACAAAGTAGAAAAATTACAAGCACAAATACGATGGACGTCTTTTCCAGGAGTTCACGCACTTTTGTTAAAAGTAAATTTTCGGTTTTTCCTGCAAGTGAGAGAGAAAAAAACGACGCGAATTTTTTTTTTTTTTTAGGGATGCACCAATCCGAACACATACGAAGCCGTCGTACCTTTATTATCCATGTTCACACCTCTTTTAGATTTACCGATGGTGGATCCAACTCAAAGTTTAGCCTTTCCGATGAACGTCATAGCTCTCTTGCCGTACATGCTTTTGAATTTCGAAGATGCCAACGAATTGTGCATAAGGAGTGCGGAAAACATCGCTCAGGTTTTTTTTTTTTTTAAATAATTTTTTTGGTACTAATCCGTTGGAAAACTGAACAAAAATTAATGCAGACGACTTTTCGATATGTCCAGGCGAGTTCCGATAAGGGTAAAAAATTGGAAAATTTAGGGACCGTCATGAATCTTTATTCGAGGCGAACCTTCAGCAAAGAAAGTTTTCAATGGACGAAATGCGTAGTGAAATATTTATACGATACCTACGCTCATTTGAGTCTGAACATTCTTGCATTTCTAGTCGAGGTGAGTGAGTCGTTAGTCGTGTCACCCACCATCGGGCAGTGAGTGATTTTTTTTTTGTTGTCTCTTTCCAAAGGTTTTGGAAAAAGGTCCTTCCGTGATGCAACAACCCGTTCTCAGTATAATACACTGCATGCTTCACTACATCGATTTGGCGTCATCGGCAGCTCAACCGATAAACGCTGATCTATTGAGAGTGATAGCCAAATACGTCGGAGGGTCACATTGGAAAGAAGCTCTTAAAATACTCAAATTGGTCGTTGCGAGATCATCGACTTTGGTCGCACCCACAGCGATTCATTCACACATGGAATCATCTTCGTCTCCTCATCCGTCTTTTTCGGAAAATGAAATTTTCACGAAAAAAGTAAAAATTTTGTTGTTGTTGTTGCTGCTGCTGCTGCCACGTCTCTTCTTCCGTACGATCGATCAAAAAGTTTTGTCTTTCTCTTTTAAAGGAACTTCCCGGACCTACAATGGAATTCACGTTTGATCTCTCTCAAACTCCCGTCATCGGAAGGAGGTTCATACCGAGAAAAGAAGAAAAATCTAACGTTTCTCCTAGGAGATCCGTGTCGCTGTCACCGGCGGACGGTGGTAACGTAACCGGTTGGAAAAGGCCTTGGATGTGCCAGGTTAATACTCCCCCCTCTCCCCTCTCCCTCCGAAAAAAAATTCACTTTTTCCGATTTTCTTATGACTCTTTTTTTTCCTGTTGCGTTTAGGGTCGGGTGAGAGAATGTTTGGTCAACGTTTTAACGACTTGCGGTCAAAGAGTTGGTCTACCCAAAAGTCCATCGGTAAGTAAAAGAAATTTTCTTTTTTTTTTTTTTTTTTTTTTTTTTGTTTCTTATTGTCACGTCCGACATTTTCTCCCCTTAAAAAAAAAAAAAAAGTTGATGACCCCACACACATCCATACCCTTTTTATTTACATTCAAAAACTAATACATTTATGACTTTGTTATCTAGGATGGTATTATATACAGTCTGAATAAGGTAATGATAATAATAATAATAATAATAAATATTAAACGCCTCACACATTTTTTTTTTTTTTTTTTTGAAAAATAGATTATTATTAAAAAAATTAAAAATTAATAATAATAATTATTATAATAATAATAATAATAACAAATTCATATAATTAAACTCATGCATTATTATCAATTGTACATGTTGTTGCACTCGATTGATACTATTTTCACTATCGAAAAGAAAAATAATAATAATTATAGTAATAATAATAATAATAACATTTTGATTACGTCACACGCAAAATCACGCAATAATCGATAAATTAATAAATAAAAAATAAAAAAGCTTTTAAAAAAAAAAAAAAAATAGTAAAAATGTGAATTATTGTGTTTGCAAGCAAAAAGCAGGAGCATGTTTCATTGCACCAAAATGTGGCGGTTTAGTTTTTTTTTTTTTTTTTCTTCTTTTCTTTTCTTTTTTTTCCTTTGTTTAATTGAAAGGAAAAACAATCGGGAAAAAGATGATAAACGTGCGTGAAAAAGGAAAGCAGCATCAGCAGGAACAACAGGAGAAAGATTCGGACATGGTGTCCGAATGACCGCCGACGACTTCCTATTCAAACCGCATAATCGCAACATTGTTTATCGATTTTCTTCTCGTTTTCCTCTCTTCATTTCTTCCTCCGCAATGATTTCGTCTTCTTTTTCTTCATCTTCTTCTTCTTCTTCATCTTCCCGATTTTTCGGTTTTTCTATTTTTTTTTTATTTTCACAATTTTTACGACGCGAAACGATAAATTCGAAAATTCGAATCGTAAAACGAAAGAAAATTAGTTGGAAATGAAAAGAAACGTTTATTTATTTATTTATTTATCATCTTTGTTTGTTCACGTTTGTTTGTTCTTCTCGTTTGTTCGATCGTCGTCGTCGTCGTCAAAAGTCACTTGAAAAAATCAAATCGTTTTTGTTTTTTTTCGATTCGCGTATTTTTTTGTTTTTTTTCCGAAATCGCAAAATGTTTAAAATTAGCATTCGTGAAGCTTTATCGTCGCTGTTGCTGTTTTTTTTCTTTTCTTTTATTATTATTATTATTATGATAAATGGCTATTGCATTCGCTTAGGCAATTTTACATGTCATTACTGCCTTTTTTTTTTTTTTTATAAAAATTAACCGTCATTTAAATTCAACCGCCGTTGATTTGTCGTCATCGTCGTTTTTTTTTTTTTCTCTGGAAAGAAACCTCACGGTTTTCGTTTTTGATTTCAGGTTATTTTCAGTCAAAGTTCTGATCTCATGGAAAGACAATCAAGCATGGCATCATCGACGGAAGAAGTTTCCGGACCGAACGATTTATCGGGAGGATCGAGAAGAGATGACGCGACTCAAGATCAATTTGGAGTCTTTAAAGATTTCGATTTTTTGGAATACGAAAGCGAAAGCGTCGAGGTGGGTCATTAAACCCAACAAATTTTTTTTTAATCCTTTGTTCGCTCCTGGAAATTTTGAATTTTTTTTTTTACGTCTCAGGGCGAAAGCACGGATAATTTCAATTGGGGTGTACGTCGAAGGCCACTCCTGGAGGGAAAAACGGACAGCGAAGTGATTTCGTCAGCGCACGAAGAAAGCATAAGCGAAGACACTCCAGTTTTGGAGAAGAAAAAAGTAATGAGAAATGTTTAATTCTTACGTGTGCGAAAAGATATTAAGTTATTATTATTATTATTATTTTATTCCAGAGAGGAATCGTCGAAGAATCATCGGATGACGAAGTCGGTTCCGAGTCACCACTCGATGAAGTTCCGGTCGCGTCCGATTTTGTCATAACATCCGTCACGTCGAACATAATTTATCCCCCGTCTTCGTTGGCTTTAAGAGATAGAAGAAGTTCGGAAACGAGATCTGACACATCGTGAGTCGTCATCCCGACGGTCACGTCGAAGAAAACATTTCCTTATAATTATTATTATTATTATTTCTAATAATTGAAATTTTTTTTTGAAGGGGTTCGAGCGTTGGTGACTTGGGTGACGACACGCCGTGCAACGCATCTCCAAGCCTTACCGGACATTTGTCCTTCAGACCCGTAGTTCGTGATTGTGCCGAAGAAGCGTGGAAGCAACAAATTCTCAGTTTGTTTAATCACATTCCGACAACATCGACTCTCGAATTATTCCAGCTCCTGAACAAGTTGATCAAGGTATGTTTCCCGGAAAAGAGAAGAAAACTTTTCTGCGCTTTTATCGAGATGCGCGACGTGAAAACCATTTTTTTCGACGTTTTCGTTTGTCCAGGACGTTGTCGGGAAAACGATCGAAATGACACGGGAATCTTGTGCGAATTTGACCGGACGAGACGTTCAATTGCTGACGTCGAGATTAACGACGGTTTGCGAACTTCTCAGCAACCGAGCGGATCCGCCTCACGTTTGGTTCACCGTGGACGCTCTCCAAGAGCCCAAATTCACCGACGCACTCCGATTCGGTATGTTGGAAATTCAACAGCATTTGGAAACGTTTCTCGACAAGAAAGAGCAGGCGGCGGAATTCGTCGGCGGTATAAAAACGTCGGCAAAACTTCACCTTCTCGCGGACGAGGAGGGAGGAGAAACGAATTGTTCGGACATCATATTGGATTTGGGAAGGGCTTTGTACAAATTACACTTTCAGTTGCTCCTTCTCTTGGAATCCGCTCATAAGATGGTGACATCATTGCACACGATAGCTCGAATGCATCAGGTATGAAAATTGTAATAATCCAAACCTCTTTTCTTTTTCTTTTTTCGAATGTTAAAAAAAAAAAAAAATTTTTCAATGTCGACATGTTTCTCTCATAATCAGCTTTCCGACATATCGGACGAAGTGTCGGTCGTAAAGGAAGCGCTGGGTAAAGCCGCAGAAGAAGTATCTTATTCGGATAGGGGAACACCCACGCCGACAGCATCTCCGTCTACATCTCCGGGTTCTATAATAACCCTAGACTCGAAATTGGACGACGAAGTTGCATTGATGGATCTCGTTTCGGAAGGAGAATGGGCAGCAGCATTGAAACACGCCAGACTGAACAGGTTAGATTATTTTAAATTTAAAAAAAAAAAAAAAAAACGTGTAAGCAGACAACGAATCGTTTCTCAACCGCGTTTTTCCCCCCCCCCCTTCGCATCTCAGACACGTACCTCACGATAATTTTTAACTCGTGCGTTTGTTTGTTTGTTTTAAAATGTAGAAATTCGTGGCAGAGCGAACCGATTTCTACGGGTTTCGACGACAGCGATGACATTACCGAAATTTTAAACGTTTACTGTAAAGTTTTATCGAGAGGAAAATCAGGTCTATAAGTTTTTCTTTTTTTTTTATAATTAGTTTTCGAAAATTAGTCGGAAAATGTAAAAAAAAAAAATTAAAATTTTTTCTCGTTTGTTTGTTTGTTTGACGCAGGAGTTTTCGTTGTCACGTCATCGGAAACGGAATTAAACGAATTGACGTGTAAACTTCGTGAAAATTTATTTCAAGTTTTAGGAGCGGTAACGCATTTAGAAAATCAAATGAAAGAAACGAAAGAAATTCAAAGGAACACAGATTATTGACACGTTTTTTTTTCTTTAAATAATTTATTTATTCAGTGTAATTAACATCAATCAATCAATCAACCAATCAATAAAATTTAATGAAATATTTTTTCTTCATAATAATAATAATTTATATATCGGGGGGTATTTTTTTGTTGTTTCCGGTTGAGAAAAAATTTATTTTTTAACGTCATCTTCCGCGGACTTTGCAGCATCCGTTTCTAGGGTTCCCACGAGTGGTAAACCCGTGTGTAAAAGATTCGTTATTCCTTCCACGTCGACGGTTTCATCTTGTTCGTGAATTTTTTTCAATGCGTTGCTCACGATGCAAAGATCTCCTCTTAATTCGCTCACGAGTGCGGCAATTTTTTCCGCGTTGCTTAAAATCTCAACGGATTGAGTGTAAGGATTATAACGCAATCCGAAAGGTTTTTTTATCTGTCCTGCATAAGCTCTCATTTTTTCTTTGGCTTCTTCGAACGAGTCGGTGTAGTAATAAGCGTTCTGATAAGAGGTTATAATACATTCTTCTTTACAAGTGATAACAGGATCGAATCTTTTTATTTTGTCTGTTGCCGTGACCGCGTGTTTCAATTCCGCAACGGATGATAATAAACCAGCACCGTAAACTCTCAACTGTCCATCTTGTTTACATAAACCGAACTCGACGGTGAAAAAATAAAGCTGGAAAAAAAAGAATCGGGAAAAAGATATAAAAAAAATGAAAAGAAAAAGAAAAATTTTTTTCTTTTTTCTTACCGTTGCCAGTTTGTCTACGTCATCATCGGATGCACCCAAAGATGCGAGACCGATTTCTTGTGAAAATTGTGCAAAACTCGGATTTGCAAGCAAAGGCATGTGACCGAGAAGTTCGTGGCAGCAATCACTAAATAAATAATAATAATAAGAGATAATTTACATTAAAAAAAAATGAATGAGGACGTTACGTACGGTTCTGGAGTGTAAAATGGATCAGATGAATGACGAATGTATTGAGTGCAATGAAAAACACGAAAAGCAAGACCGGCAAGAAAATCTCTCGGTGTTAAATATCCGGCAACGGGTCTAAGACTAAATCCGGTTCTTCTTTTAAGAAAAATATTAACATCTTGTAATTGTGGTATGTTATCCTCTCTGTAACCGCAATATTTTACTAAATCCGGCCAATTTTCTTTATATTCACGACAAGCGTGTATCGCATATAATTTATGAAGTTCGTTAAAAACGGTTCCCCTTAGAGGAAAAAAAAAACAAAAATTATTAATAAGGTTTTTAACCATAAAGAAAAGTTTTCCAAAACGCCATAAAAAAATTAGTTTTTTGTATTTAACTTACCAAGTTTTGATTTCTTCAGGTGTATATTGAACTTTTGGAATTGGATTTCCACTTTTTTTAAAATTAAATTATAAATTTATTTATATTAAAAAGTTTGAATAAGATTAATAATTAAATTGAAATTGAAAAATTTTTCTTATTCTTCTTTTTAGAAATTTAAATTATTTAAGTTTATTTTTCAATTGAATAATTTAATTTTATACTTACTATTTATACGAATTTGCAATTTCGGCAAATTGTACTCTTCGCTTTCTATAAATTGGATCTTTAAATCCCTGGAAAAATATTAATAAGAAAATTTTTCTTTCCTTTCTTGCTTTTTGTAATGTTTTTTTTTTTTTTTGTTTTTTTTTGTTTGTATTTACCGGATGATCTGCATCTAATTCCGAACCGTACATTAAAACGTTTTGTGCATTGTCTAAATCTCCTATTTTTCTCGGGAACCAAGTCATGTCTCCAAAATCTTTTTTTTAATTCCAAAAATTAATTTTCGGGAAGATAAAACAAAAAAAAAAAACAAAAAAATTAAATTAATTTTCTTTTACGTCATTTTTTTTTTTTTATAAAAACATTTAATTATATTTTGCGTTTTAAAATTTTACTTTTATTAATCGGGAATCGGGAATTTAAAAAAAAAATTTTTTCCTCCTTTTCCAGGATTATTACATATTTCCGAAACGGCCATTTTTTTTTTAAATTTAATGGTATTTAATTGTAATTATTTTGCTTTTCAGGTAATGACATCTATCGTTTATAATTATAATTAATATTATAATGGTTTCCTTAAAAAATTATAATTAGGTAATAATGGCTTCCGAAAAAAATTTTGCAAACAAAAATTTCGACCAATCAAAAAAATTTAAAATTCGAAAACAATAATGGTTGCCGAAAAAATTATAATTAGGTAATAATTTGCAAAAAATTTTCGACCAATCAAAAAAATTAAAAATCGAAAACAATAATGGTTGCCTTAAAAAATTATAATTAGGTAATAATGGCTTCCGAAAAAAATTTTGCAAACAAAAATTTCGACCAATCAAAAAAATTTAAAATCGAAAACAATAATGGTTGCCGAAAACATTATAATTAGGTAATAATTTGCAAAAAATTTTTTCGACCAATCAAAAAAATTAAAAATCGAACATAATAATGGTTGCCTTAAAAAATTATAATTAGGTAATAATGGCTTCCGAAAAAAATTTTGCAAACAAAAATTTCGACCAATCAAAAAAATTTAAAATCAAACATAATAATGGTTGCCTTAAAAAATTATAATTAGGTAATAATGGCTTCCGAAAAAAATTTTGCAAACAAAAATTTCGACCAATCAAAAAAATTTAAAATTCGAAAACAATAATGGTTGCCGAAAAAATTATAATTAGGTAATAATTTGCAAAAAATTTTCGACCAATCAAAAAAATTAAAAATCGAAAACAATAATGGTTGCCTTAAAAAATTATAATTAGGTAATAATGGCTTCCGAAAAAAATTTTGCAAACAAAAATTTCGACCAATCAAAAAAATTTAAAATCGAAAACAATAATGGTTGCCGAAAAAATTATAATTAGGTAATAATTTGCAAAAAATTTTCGACCAATCAAAAAAATTAAAAATCGAAAACAATAATGGTTGCCTTAAAAAATTATAATTAGGTAATAATGGCTTCCTAAAAAAATTTTGCAATCAAAAATTTCGACCAATCAAAAAAATTTATAATCAAACATAATAATGGTTGCCTTAAATTAAAGAATTGTAAATCAAATTTTTTTTCTAAACAGTTTCCGTTTCCGGTTTGTTTTAATATAATCATCCCTATCATTTTTTTTTAAATTTCTTAAAGGTTACGATTGTATGATAAAAAAAAAAAAAACAGAAACGATGATTTAAAATTTTAAAAAAATTAGAATTTTTACCGAAACTTGCAGTTGTCGGAGTTTGCGGCGGAAGTTCTAAACCATCTTCGTATTGTTTCAAATTAATCGCTGAAACTTTTTTTCTCAACATTAAAACCAATTCGTCCATTTTGTTATTATCGCATTCGACATCGATTAATATTTCATATTCTGATTCTTTTCTCCTCGACGGTCTCGATTCTATGTGAACGACATTAACTCCCAAACTCTATAAAATTATTATTACTACTATTATCATTATTATTTTTTTTCGGAAAAACTACCAAATCTAGAGAATAATAATAATAATAATAATAATTTTTAAATTCAAAAAATAAAATTCACCTCGAAAACTTGTAAAGCAGATGCCAAACCTCCAACTTGATCTTTTAAACCGAAAACTACGCTATTTAAATTTTCATCCGAACGTATGACGTCAACGGTTCCTTTCCTCGTCATTTGTCCTAATTTTATTTTAGGATTCTTTTTTTTTTTTTTTTTTCGTAAATAAAAAAATTAATAATAATAATATATAATAATGATAATAATAAGGTTTTGCATAAATACCTGAGTTTGTAAATGATGAACGTTTTCTTTCAATGCCCATTCTTCACCCGAACGATATAACCATAATCCTAATAAACCTTTACCGGAACCACTCATTTTAAATAAAAATTTTTTTTTGTTAATCAAACCGGATATTTAAAATAATTTTTTAATTAAGCACAAAAATTCAAGATTTCAATTTCAACCGGAAATTCAAGATTTGACTTTATTGAATGAACGGGTGTCGAAGTTGCATTGAAACTTAAATTTGAAAGTCAAGAAGAAGAAGAAGAAGAATAATAATATGGCGTCCGTTTGGCCTGCGTGTTATGACGTCACTAAATCTTTTGATTGCCTAAATCATGGAAAAAACGTTCGTTTTTTTTTTTTCCTTTTTTTTTTTTTTTTATTCTAGAAATAAAAAGAAAAATCAAATCTTTAAAAGTGTGTAATGATAAGAATGAAAAGAAAGAAAAGAAAAATTTAAACTTTTTTTTTTTTAAATATTCCAGAGATTTTTTTTTTTTTTTTTTACTATTCCAGAAATTATTTATCATGTTCCATAAATATTATTAATCGTGAGAATTTTTTTTTTTTCTATTTGTTTATATTGGTGGGGGGCAGGAAGGAGAGGGAGGTAAAATGGGAGAAAATTTTATTTGTTTTATCAAAAGATTTTGATTATATTTTTGATTTCCTACACATTTTATTAATTTTTTTTATTCGAAATCATTTTTCTAAAATGTTTATTTATTCTGTGACGTAAATAATAATAATAATAATAATAATAATAATAATAATTAAATCAACGGTAAGTCTTTCTGATGATTTTTTCTGCTTTTGTTTAAACGTATAAATTTTTTATTTATTTTTTTTTTTTGTTTTCTTCCAGACAACGAAACCTTTTTTTTTAGTTTTATTGCATTCGAATAAATTTATAAAAATGGTGGAAAAAAACGAACATAAATTTTAAGAGTAAAGAAAAAGAAGAAAAATCGTAGAAATGATAATAATAATGATAAAGTTTTGAGTGAGAGAAGTAGAGATAGAAAGAGAGGAAAAAGGTAAACGTGAAACATTTTTTATTATACTTTTATCGTATTAAATAATAGAAAAAAAAGGAAAAATGGATGATTAATTATCCAGATTGAAAAAAAAAAAAAAAACAAAAAAGGAAATGAAAATTTTGTTTGAATGAAATGATTTTAATTTTTCGTATAAACGTCAATTCCAGGCTAAACATTGAAACAAAGAAAAGCTTTTTGTGTAAAAAAAAAAAAAAAAAAGGAAAATTTACTATTGACGCAATCGAAACTCAAAATCTTTCTCTTAACTTTTTTTTATCTTAAATTTTCTTTTACTTTTTTTTTTTTTTTTTTCTCAATTTAGATAATTCAATTCAATTGTTTAAAAAAAAAAATTTGGTTTGCTAATAACTTTTCTTTTTTACAATTTTAAACAAAAAAAACCTCTCTTTTTTTATTTTATTTTATTTTTCCCCCCGAAATTATTTTTTTTTTTTTTTTTTTTTTTTTGTACACAGTAAATAAAATTTTCTAATTATTTTAATAAGAAATTTAATACGGTCCTGATTTTTCCTTTTTTTTTTTTTTTTTTTTTGTAAATAAATGAAAACACCACATTAGAAATAAATTTATTTATTTATTTTTTTTCTTCTTAGAGATAAAATAAAATGAAGAAAAAAAGAAAAATTTAAACGCATATCTTATACATTATATATTTTTACCCGCCATTTTTATTTCATTGAAAACAAAAAAAAAATTAATTTGTTTTCTTTTTTATTTAATTAAATTAATAATAATATTAATCAATTTTTTCAGGATGGTACAAAAACAATGGCAAGAATTCTGCTTCTCACAATTAAAAAGAAAAATTTTTTTTTTTTGCAATTTTCTGGAAAATTTAAAAGGTAAATTTTCATAAAATTTTTTTTTTTTTTTGACTTTTATTAAATTTTTTTTTTTTTCATAGTTATTGATTAATTTAAATTTTTTTTATTTTCGTGTCAAAAATTACATAAAATTTACCTAAAAAATAAATTTTACTTGTTGTTTCGTCACAATAATAATAATAATAATAATAATAATAATAAGATTAAGTTTATTCGGTTTGTGGTTTTTCTTTTTTTTTTTTTTTGTATTAAATTACATGTTGAGATTTTAAAATTATTTTGCTATTTAAATAATATTATTATTATTAATATGAAAAATGTGATTTACTTTTTAAATTTTCGTTAAAAAATAATGATAATAATAATTACAAGATGGTGATGAACGTATTTCGTCATCGTTCGGATATTGATTATTTAAATGGATTTAAAAAAAAAAAAAAAAAAAAAGTTTTCTTCTTTATTTATCGATTTTATTGATTAATTAACGTTATTCGTTTTTAATAAACGTTTATTAATGAATAATAATAATAATAATAATAATGACATTTAACATGTTGAGTTTTACAGAAAAGATCATCATTATTAATTAATCTCTTTCAGGATAAAACTGAGTCAATTCTTTTACTAATTGATTAGCTAAAGATTGCGTTGATGCGCACAAAACTCTTCTGCTTAAAATATCAAAATTTCCACCTGTAAAAAAAAAAAAACGCAAAAATTTAATTTAATTTTCTTTGGTGTTATGCAAGTGACGTCACTTCCGTAAATAACATCATTCCCATAACGGTAACAAAACTCATTAACACGTGAATAATTTTTTAATGAAAAGTTAAAATAAAATAATTAAAATGTTGTATTCGATTAATTTAAAGCAAAAATTTTTTAAGAAGGTCATTTTGAAAATTTACCAGATGGATCGATGACCACACCACCAGCTTCTTTAACTAAAAGTTCACCTGCTGCAACATCCCATGCATGAATACCAAATTCAAAATATGCATCAGAAGAACCTGAAGCAACCAATGCCATATTCATAGCAGCTGATCCAGTAGCTCTACAACTGAATTAATTAATGTACAAATTTATAAATGTTTAATACTTAAAAATTATTATTTTTTTTTTTTTTGTTAACAGGACAATTAATTAATTAACAAACCCATGAACTTTTCCAATTAGTTTCGAAATGTTTGCAAGTACATTTTCTTCTTTTTTAGGATCTCGACTTGTTCCACATTCGAATCCCAAAAGACATCTGGATAATTCTGAAGTAGAATTTTTTTTAAAATTTAATTTAATTGGTAATATTGTTTATAATGATAATAATTCATAGAATTATCTACCTGTTTCTTTTGATACATGAATAGTTCTGCCATTTAATTTAGCACCTAAACCTCTTCTGGCTTCGAAAAATAAATCAATAACAGGATTATAAACTATACCTATTTCAGGTATTTTATTTACAAATAATGCAATCGAAGTGCAAACATTTGGATAACCATGAACAAAATTCATGGTACCATCGACAGGATCTATTATCCATGTTGGTGAATTTGTAAAATTACATTTGGCACCTTCGCTCACACTTTCTTCACCTATAAATAAATGATCAGGAAAATTTTCTTTGAGATTTGATATTAAATATTTTTCAACTTCTTGATCGGTTTCCGTAACCAAATCAATTTCCGATGATTTTGTTTCTATTTTTAATTTTGAATCCCAAATTCTTTCTTTAATTATCTAAAAGAATAAAAAAAAATTGAAAATTCATTTATTTATTTGGAAAAGTTTTAAATGAGTATTTAATTTATATTTAATTTATATTTAATTTAATTAACCTTTCCTACGTGTTTTGCTGATTTTACAACTACTTCATAACATTTATCCAGATCTACAGACATTGTCAAATATTAAAACAATTAAAATTTCTTTTTTTTTTTACTTAAAATATTTGCATAAAATATGTCAAGACTTTATCAGTCGTTCTAATTACTAATAATATATAACTTAATGAATATTTATTGACCTGACGATAGATGTCACTCTATTATATTTTTTATGTAACGACTTTTTTTTAAGGCTTATTTAAATTTGTATATAAATTAAAGGGGAAAATAATTTTTTTTAAAAGAAATCAATAAAGATTTAGTTAATCGCGAGTTTCGTATGGGGATAAAAATTAAATAGTGAGTACGCTAATAAAATAATTTTTTCTTAAATTAAAATTTAACAATCCTTCACGTATAATCAAATATTTTCTAAGTTGCAAAAAAAAAAATTAAAACATTTACGCATTTCTAAAAGTTTAATATAATTTTTTCTTTAATGTTTACTGTACAGTTTTAGCGACTTTAAAAAATAATCAATCAATTTTGTTATTAAAAAAAAAAAATAATAATAATAATAAAATTACGTTCCCTTTGATTGAGTTTATTAATTTTGATTTCGATTAATCGAAATTTTCGATATAAATTACGTAAATTCAAAATGGCCGAATAATAAACAATACACGTTCGATATTTAAAAATGGTTACGGAAGATTGGTCGAACGAACAAGTAGTTAATCGTGCAAATAAAATTATTGTTGAAGTTCAATTGCGTAAATATGGGAAATTTATTGAAAAACATACAAATAAATTACGATCAATCGAAGAATCTTTTACGGAAAGTAATAAAAATTTTGGTTATGATCCGATTAATGTTAAACTCAATGGATGGGAACAGATAGAACTTATAAATTTAATTAATACGGATAACAAGATATTAAATAAAGTAGTTTTAGTATTAGCCAGTTTGTGCATGGAAGTAAAAGAAAGAAGAGAAGAAGGTTATAGTAAATTTTGCAATGCTCTTTTGAAATACGGTGAAGAATGCAGTAATGACGATGAAAAAATTCTACACATAACAATTAGTAATTATTTACCACTTTTTCAAGATTTATATTGTTTTGTTAATAGATGTCATCAAATAGTTATTGAAATTATTAAACAATTAGCTGCTATTTATACGACGTCGGATAAAAATTTAACAATAAATTCAATGAATGTACATTTTGAAGATATGATGGATCATTTAGGAGAAATACTAACAATACTTGTTACATTGGATAGATTAATAGAAAGCATTGACAATATATCAGAAGGTTGGTCACTTTATAAAAGATTAATAAGAACAGTTCAGTTGAATGTCATACCTGAAAAACTTTCAATGTTGGAAAACATAACAAAAACATTAGAATCAAATTTATTAAGTGGAAAAATATTTCATAACATGTTAGAAAAACTTTCACAAATAAGTCAAATCGTGAGACAATCGAAATTAGGAGATGAATTTTTACTTTATTTAAAAAATATGTTGACCAGATTAGAGGGTAAAGATTTAGACATGAATCAAATGATGATGAATCATCAAGAAAAACTTTGGTCAAAAGTAATATGTTTGTTTGTTTTAAATACATATTTGTTTGGTTTGCATGATAAAAAATTATTAAAACAAATTTGGGAAGTGTCTAAAAAAAATGTTTGCATTAATTTATTTAAAAATATTATATGGTTTCCAGATGATTTTTTATTTCAGCATTTGTCACACATTTTCAAAGCGGATGATAAAAAGCAAAAGCAATCGATTGTTAATTTAAGAAATGAACACCTCAATCAAAAAGATGCAAATTTATTTAACCAAGTGCAAAAATATTTACAAGAAACTTGCTTGTGGGTCATACAATTGAATTCAGTTTTGAAAAAAGACAAAGGAAATTTAATATTGGATGAATTAAAAGAAAAATGTAAATTGTTTTTAGCCGGTTCTAAATTGGCAAGCGATATGAGTAGAGTTTTAAAAACGGTTTTAAATCTTCATACGGCTCTGAGTAAACCGATGACAAAAGCGACTGTTTTGTATTTATGTAAATTAATCGAATTGTTAAAAAGCATTGAAATGATTTATCAAAATTATTATTTTTTCATGTGCGAACCATTGAATCACATAAGACAGTATTTGGCATATTTAGCATTGAATACAATTAAAAATGCTAAAAGTAGAATATTATCGGATAAGTCATACACAAAAAAACATTTAGACACATTATCTGCTTTGGTACTTTCCGAAAAAGTCCTTCTCGGACCCGTTACCGTTGAAAGATGTTTAATTGCAAGATTGGGTCTTTCCATAGCCAGAGGAAACGCGAGCAAAGCGTTAAAAGACGAAGAAGTCGAACAAATTTATTTAAATTTACAACTTTTAAATAAAATTTGTTTGTTGCAAAAAACCGTGACGGAAAGTTGCGACACGTCGTTTTTATATTTTCAAAGAGTCATATTGCCAATATATTTTCAAAACGTTTGCAAATCAAAAACTCCATGTTTAAAATTATATTATTTCCTTAATTCCATGTCGGATTCGACGAAATTTTTAGATTTAGATTCGGCAAATTTATTCGAAGATGACGTCAATAATAAATTAACGAAAGAAGCATTAATGCCTTTGTGTGAAAGAGTAGAAACGAATTTGAGGCTTCAGGTACATTCGCACCTTCGTTTGAATCAAAATTCAAATAATCCTCTATTGACTGGAGAAAACGAAAACGATTTGATGAGTTTGATAGATTTGAGTCCGATGAAATTATTTTCCGGATACGTTAACGTGAAAACTCACGTCGAACATTATCTTGATAAAACATTTTACAATCTTACAACGGTGGCATTGCACGATTGGAAAAGTTACGGTGAAATGAGGAGTTTGGGAAAGATAAAATATAATTTAAATTTCGTTCAAAATCATTTACCCTATCAAACGTTGGAACACGGATTGGACGTTTTGGAAATAATGAGAAACATACACATATTCGTGTCGAAATATTTTTACAATTTAAATAATCAAATATTCATTGAACAGTCTAGTCAAAATAAACATTTGAACACTATTAACATACGTCACGTGTCAAATTCCATAAGAATGCACGGGACGGGGATAATGAACACGACCGTTAATTTCACGTATCAATTCCTTAGGAAAAAATTTTACATATTTTCACAATTTCTATTCGACGAACAAATCAAATCGAGACTCACCAAAGACATTGTTTATTACAAAGAGAATAAAAATTCAACGGATCAAAAATATTCGTACGAAAGAGCGGATAAATTTAATAAGGGAATAAGAAAATTGGGTTTGAATGCGGACGGATTGAGTTATTTGGATCAGTTTAGAATATTGATATCGCAAATAGGGAACGCGATGGGATACGTGAGAATGATACGTTCGGGAGGCATGCACTGGTGTTCGGATTCTCTTAATTTCATACCGGATTTAGAAGAAATTTATCAATACGGTAACGCTTGCAGAACGGAGGGATTGAGCGAAACGACGTGCGAATCCGCGGAAAGGCTCGACGAAGTCATCAACGATTTGACTCAGAATTTCGCTGAGGGAACGCAATATTTTAAATTATTAGTCGAAGTTTTTGCAAACGATTTTCGAAATCCTAAAAATAGTCACCTTCAAAATTTTTACATAATCGTACCACCTTTAACGATTAATTTTATTGAATACATGATAACGTCGAAGGAGAAAATGAACAGGAGGAACAAGGTAGGAGCAACGTTTACGGATGACGGTTTTGCCATGGGAGTTGCGTACGTTTTAAAATTACTAAATCAAAATAAACAATTCGAAAGTCTCCATTGGTTTCAATCGGTCAGAGATAAATATAACAAAGATAAAAGTCCATTGGAAAAATCGGGTCCGGTGGAAGAAAAATTAAAAACTACTAATATGCTTACGGCAAAAAGATTAGACGCTTATCAACGTGAATTCGATTTGTTATATTTTAGTTTAAGCAGTGCCAAAATATTTTTTCAAAAGCAAGTATCAGGGTAATTTTATTTATATTCAATAATAATAATAAATATTTGCATACGTTTTTTTTTTTTTTTTTTTCAATAAAAATAATAATTTGTTTAAAATTTGTTTTTGAATTTTTTTTTTGCTTAATTTTCTATATATATAAATTTACTAATAATAAACTTTTAATATAAACACTTTGAAAAAAGAAAAAAAACAAAACAAAACAATTTATTGTTGTATAACAAAAAGTAAACAAAGACTTTGTTTATTGTTTGCGCGAAATGAAAAATGACGTGGCATCAGATAATTTTTAGAATGTTGCCAACGACTCGTGAAAATCATTTCTGTTTCTTCATCAGTTGTCATTCTGATTCCGTCATGGGTAAATTGTTAAAATGTACATGATTATATTTTATTTTTAAATTTTATTTTTTATTATATTATTATATATTTTTTTGATATATACATTCAAAATTTGATTGCGATCGTTTATTGATTCAATCAAAATGTTTTATTTAGAGTGATTTTATATAATTATAAAAATAATTAACAAATTTGACGAAAAAAATTTTAATATGGATAAATCTACAAGTAATAAACCGTTAAATCGGAGATCGCCTCGAACTTGTGCCGCAAGAACTTCATCAAGTATTTTAGCCGCCAAAGAAAGTATGAAAATGAAAATGAAAAAAAATCAAGATGACGATTTTATAAGAGACGATTATGCAACTGCGCAAGAAGCTAAAACAATTATCGCGGGTAAAACAGGAATCGTTTACGATGACCAAATGGTTAAACATTTTTGCATGTGGGATAAAAATTATCCAGAAAATCCAGAAAGATTCAGTAAAATCATTGAAAGGTAAGTCAATATGGCTTTTTTTTTTAAATTTCTTTTTCACATTTATTTTAAAAATTTAAAATCCTTGAAAAACCTATAACCTAATCAGCATCCCACATAAATTATAAATAAATGTGAGTCATTTTTTTTTTTATTACAATGATTTTAATAGTTTATTTAAAGATTAAAGAAAAAAAAAAACTCAACTTGAATTCCCATATATAAAAGTAAACTGTGAATCAACAAAAAAATGAAAAAATTAAAACTTGTTTATTATATTTTTTTAGGTGCAAAGAACTTAAACTCATCGATCGTTGCACAAGAATAGAATCGAGATTAGCAACAGAAGAAGAAATTTTAACTCAACATACAATAGATAAGATAAAAGTATTGAAAGAAACACAAAATGAAAATGATGAAACCAAATTGGAACAATTATCATCCAAATATGATTCAGTTTATGTCAATAATTTTACCTACGAATGTTCCCTATTAGCAGTCGGCTCAACCATCGATTTAGTCGATGCAATTTGTAAAGGAGAAATACAAAATGGGATGGCTATTATAAGGTAAATAATAAATGTAAACTCATTCACACATTTTCCATAGGCAAATTGATATTTATCATATTGAATCAAGCCTGTAAAGTTTACATAATTTAAATTTTTTAAATCTTTAAAGTTTATCGTAATTCGAACTTATCGTAAATCTTTAAAGTACTCATAAATTTAATTTTTATATTTCAATAAATTTTATTTATCAATGACTGCCATTACATTTTGCTTTGCAAAGTTTTTTAAGAAATCTTATACAAAAAGTATCATTGATTAATAAACCCTTGCTATGAATAATACAAAAGATATTTATAAATAAATGATTGAATTTCAGACCGCCGGGCCATCACGCAATGAGGGACGAATATTGTGGTTACTGCTTTTATAATAACGTTGCTATAGCAGCTCAACTAGCATTAAAAAAATTTAATCTCCAAAGGATTTTAATCGTCGATTGGGATATACATCATGGACAAGCAACTCAACAAATGTTCTACGATGATAAGAGAGTCGTTTATTTTTCGATACATCGCTACGATCATGGATCTTTCTGGCCGGAATTGCGTGAAAGTAATTTTCATTACATCGGTGATAGCGCCGGCAAAGGGAAAAATTTTAATATTCCCTTAAACGAAACAGGAATGAAAGATGCTGATTATCTTGCTATATTTCAACAAGTTCTTCTCCCGATGGCTTATGAGGTTCTTAAAATAATTTATTTATTTATTAATTGTTGTTGTTTAAAGTGACGTCATTGATTTTAATATTGATTTTTTTTTTTTTTTTCAGTTTCAACCTGAATTAATTATAATTTCTGCTGGATATGATGCTGCCATCAATTGTCCAGAGGTAAGGATTAATCATAAGACAGACAACACAAAAATTAATTTTTAACATATTTTTATTTAGTTTATTAAAAACATTTTTTTGTTTTTTTTTTTGTTTTAGGGGTCGATGGAAGTTAGTCCGGCTTGTTACTCTCATTTACTGTCGCCTCTCATGGGATTGGCTGGAGGAAAAGTAGCCGTCATTCTCGAAGGGGGTTACTGTTTAAAATCCCTTTCGGAAGGTGTGGCTCTCACCCTTCGAACTTTACTGGGAGATCCGGCTCCGAGTTTAATAGATTTTGGATTACCTTGCGACAGCGTCGTCGAATCCATTCTCAACGTCATTTACGTTCACAAACCGTACTGGCAATGTTTTCAACTCCAAGATGCATACGATGTCGACGTGAACGAGGGAGGAGGAATTAAAACTCGTAAAAAATCAACGGAAAAACCATCGATCGCTCCAACAACGAAAAGACATCATCCCGTCGTGAAATTTATTGGAAACGAAACGAAACTGGATTTTTACCCGACGAGAGATTGTTATCCGATTCAAGAAGAGGAAACGTTTAAAAAATTAGATCAAAAATTAAATCATTTGAAATTGGTGACGGATTTGAGAGTTCCACCCAATCGCGTGGCATTTGGTTACGATGAAAAAATGACGGAACATCGTAACAATCAGGAAAGCAATCACCCGGAAAAACCGGAAAGAATAACGAAAATATTTCTCATGCACAGAGACTACAATCTATTGGAAAGATGTCTGTCAATCAAGGTTAGTAGTTTTATATTTAAACAATTTAATTTTTAATCCTGTTTTTTTTTTTTTTTTTTTTTGAAAAATTTAAACAATTGAATTTTATATTTATCCGCATGACTTGAAACAATTAAGTTTCTTCTGAGAGAAGGCCACATTAATTGTTTCAACATTTTGCGTTTGCAGCCCGTTAAAAATAAATTTAAAATTTTACTTTAAGAATAATATTGGGATAAACGTTTCTTTTAAATTGATAATTTTTTTTTTTTTTTTTTTACAGTCCCGAATGGCAACGGAAGAAGAAATTCTTTTGAGTCACACGAATTCACATTTGGAAGACATGAAAAAATTGCCAACGATGTCTGCGGAAGAATTAAACGAAAAAGGAAATTCGTACGATTCAATTTATCTACATTCCAAAAGTTACGAGTGCGCTCTTCTCGCCGCTGGAACACTTTTACAAGTCGTCGATTCAGTCATCAATGGGGAGGCAAGGAGCGGAGTCGCGGTTGTTCGACCCCCTGGACATCATGCAGAAGATGACACCGCGTGCGGATTTTGCTTGTTCAACAACGTGTCAATAGCTGCCAAATACGCGATCGAGGTTCATTCGTTAAAAAGGTGAATTTTAAAACTTGTTACTTTCTATTTATTTATTTATTTATTTTCTTATTTTTACATACATTATTATTAATTGTCACACTCTATTGTCACAGGATACTCGTTTTGGATTGGGATGTTCATCACGGGAACGGGACGCAGAAGATATTCGAAGAAGATGACAGAGTACTCTACATATCACTTCACAGATACAATCACGGTAGATTCTTCCCCACCACCAAGGAAGGAGATCACGACAGAGTAGGCATCGGAAGAGGAGAAGGCTTCAACGTGAACATACCGTGGAACAGACCCGGAGGTGGAATGTCGGACGGAGATTACATCGCGGCCTTTCACTCCATCGTCTTGCCAATCGCTTACCAGTTCAATCCCGAACTGGTTTTGGTCTCCGCGGGTTTCGACGCTTGCATCCACGATCCACTGGGACACTGTAAGGTGACGCCGGAGGCCTACGCCCACATGACTCACTGGTTGACGACTCTTGCAAACGGTAAAGTCATTCTATCCCTCGAAGGAGGATATAACGTGACGTCCATTTCCTACGCGTTGACGTTGTGCACGAAAGCTCTTCTTGGTGATCCTCTTCCTCCGTTGACGACGACTCTCGCTCCGTGTTCAAGTGCCGTAGAGACGATCCAGAACGTTCTCAACACTCAGGAGAAATATTGGCCGTGCTTGAAGTTCAACGTCGCTCTGCCGAAGGACTACGTCTTGAAGAACTCTGAAAGCAACATGGGCGACAGCCCGAAATTAGTTAACAATTCGTATGAGAAGAATGAGGATTTGATTGAAAAAATGCAAAGTTTGAAATTTGAAAACATAACCTTGAAAGGAGATCAAGAAGTCTGCGATGCGCCCGAAGATGGAAATCCAAGAGATGCACGTTCCAGAGAAGGAAGATCTTCGAGAGATTCGGATCACGAGTCAGGTGCCGCCGCCCGTCCAAACGCTCAAACCCTTGTCGGTTGGTATAGTTGAAATAGTTCAGTTGACCCGGTCATTATATCCAGCCTCCGAGTAGTTGGATTACAGGAGTACACCACCACTCCCGGCTGGTTTTTTTTCCTTCTCGTTTCCTCTTCTGTACAGCTGGTTTTTTTTCTTCTTTCCTCTTCTGTACAATTTTTTTTTTTTTTCTTTTCCCTCAAAGGTTATCTTTCGGATAATATGCAAAGGTTATTAAATCAGGAAATGTTTGCTGTCGTGCCACTTCCGGGTTGTCCTCATTTGGTACAAGTTCAAGCAGTTCCGCAATCGGGTATCGACGTGAACACTCCATGCGGAACGTGTGATTCTCAACAGGAAAACTGGATTTGTTTGATTTGCTATTTGGTATGATGAGTAAATTAGGAATACACACGTTCATGTGGAGAAAGTGGAGAAGGAGGAGTAGACGGATGAGGGAAAAAAAAATAAAATTGTACTTTTACCGCTTCAGGTATTCTGCGGACGATACATAAACCAACACATGATGTTTCACAACGAAGAATCCACGCATCCTCTTGCTCTCAGTTTCACAGATTTATCCGTTTGGTGTTACGTGTGCGAAGCTTACATAGACAACATGGTAATGAAATTCTTCACTTCTCGGTTGAGTCCTCCCTGCGAAAAGACAAATAATAATAATGATATTAATAATCATGATAATAATATTAATAATAATAAAATTAATATTAGTAATAATAATAATAAGTGTTATTTTTTTTTCTGTCAGATCCTTTATCCGGCTAAAAACGCGGTTCACAGGAGCAAATTCGGTAGCGATTTGGAATGGAGTTACGGAGATCGAACGCCAAACACGAGGCTGTCAAATCGATGATTGAAAAAAGTCAAAGGAAAAGAAATTTAAAAAAAAGGACAAAAAAAAAAAAAAAAAGAAAAAAAATTCATTTTTTCAAACACATTCACTCGCGCATTCCTCCCCTCCCATCCCCCCTCTCTCTCTCTCTCTCGTTTCCTTTTTCTTTTCCTCTCTCCCTTTCCCCCCTTTTCCCCTATTTTGTCCCCCTACTATCTAAAAATGAAATATTTATTTATTTATTTATTTTATATTAACATTAACATTATTATTATCATCGATTTTTTTTTTTTTTTTTTTACGAAATTTATTTTATTTTATTTTTTATTTTTTTTTTTATTCGTTTTTACGCGAACCTGATGAAACCCTTTTTATAAATTTGTAAAGAAATTTTCTTGATAATAATAATAATAATAATAATAATAATTGTCTAATCAAAGTTTTTTTTTTTTTTTTTTTTCGAAATATTTTTCAAACGATTTATGAAAATTTTTATGAGATCGATTATATAGAATTTTAATTGTGAAAGAAATGATGTCATTATTATCATTATTATTCGTCTTGAATGTCTGGAACGGCCTAACAAAGGGAACAAAAATCACACGTCACGTAACACGTTTAAAAATTAAAAACTCGCGCGAAATTAATCATTATTATCATGTGAAATTTGTTGTTCGTACATATTTTATCTAATGTAAAATATATATATATTTTTTATTATTATTATTATTAATAATAATTTTTTTTTATTAATCAAACGTTATATTATTATATTATTATTATTATTAATATAGAAGAAATTTTATATATATATATATGTTTTATACATAAAACGCAATAATAAATTTTATTTTATTTTTCCTCCCCTCCCTTTAATCCTGCCCCCCTTTTTTTTAAATAAATTCAATTTATAGCGCTATAATTAATAATAATAATAATAAGTGTAGTCTATTTGTTAAAATTGGAAAGTGAGAAAAAGAAAATTAAATTTAGAGCTCAAAATAAAAAAGAAAGAAAGAAAGAAAGAAAAATTGGTGGGGAGAACGATGCGAAAGTTTTTAGCTTTGAGAAAAGAGAGAAAACGGGGGGAGGGGTATTGAATCAAAGGATAAAGGGAGTGAGAAAAAGAGAAGGGAAACGGGGGGAGGGGGAAGGGACGCCTTATTTCGTTTTCAAATTAAAAAAAAAAAAAAAAAAAAAAAAAAAGTTTTCAGTAGTCAATCCGGAATTTCACACACGGTGTTCAATTGTAAGTTTTCTTTTCTTTCTTTCTTTTGAAATCAAAATTAATTAATTAATTAATTAATTATTATCATTTGGGGTTATTAATTTAAATTTGATTCATCGAATTATTATTATTATTATTATTTTTACCGATTAATTTTAAATTGATTTGACGGATTTTTCATTTTAAAAAAAATTTTTTTTGCTTGTTTTTCTTTTTTTTAAGAATTTTTCGTTACTTTTCTATGTAAAAAAAATCATTTAAAATATAATGAGAGAGAGAGAGGGAGAGAGAGAGAGAGTGCGTTCGTTTGCGTACGAAAAAGAGAGAGAGAGTGCGTTCGTTCGCGTACGAAAGAGAGGAAGAGTATTGCGTCCGTGTACAAGAGAGAGAGAAAGAGAGTGTGTGCGTTCGCGTACGAAAGAGAAAGCGAGAGAGAAAGATGAGTGCGTTCATGTATGAGAGAGAGAGAGAGAGAGAGAGGGTAAGAAACCCCCCAAAACTAAATTAACTATTATTAAAAACCTAGAAAAGGAATAAACCCGAACGTTTTCGTTTAAATGAGGTCGTTTTACGTTCTCAAACAAACAAACAAACAAACAGTTCGAAGGCAAAACGGACAACAAACAAAAACAAGGGAGAGACGTAAATAAATTTTTTTTTTTTTAAATAAACTGAAACGGTATTGAAAATTCGGTCATAAATCTGATTATTTGCCAATAAATCCTTTTCGTCCACGTTATCATCGTTAGTCTCTCTCTCTCTCTCTCTCACTCTCGTCATTATTATCATTTTCAGAAAGGAAAGGAAAAGGAAAATGTCTAAATACACGAGACCGGTTTACAGCAGGCCGAGAACAAAAGTCTACGATACAAATTACAACATCGGAGAAAGTTATTATAAATCCGCATTGGACGGATTAGATAGAAAATATGGGAAAACGAATCCCGGAGATTTTTTTAACAGTTCAATGACGTCACAACCACCGTTCGGTGAAAGATCTGGAATGGGAGGAGGAGTAGGAGGAGAATCGTCCGCAACGAGAAGCGCGATGAAAGAAATGGATGATTTTTTCGACGATAGAAAAAAAAAAAAAATGGGATCATTGATGGACGAACCAGCGTTCGACGACGTTTTCACAAGTCGAATGAAAAACGGAAATCCATCGCGAAATCTCGCGAGAGCTTTAGAAGACGAATTCGACCAAGACGTGGCATCCTCGATGAGAAAATTAAAATCCGTTAAAATATCGAAATCGATGGCGGAAAATTTCGACGACGAAGATATCGCATCCTCGATTCGAGATAGAAAAGATTCGAGACTCAAATCGAAATTAGATTTTTCCGATAAGTTAATGGATAGCGTGGGATTAACCGGAAAAGCGAGAGCCGCTTTGGAAGACGATGACGGTTTCACGAGCAAGAAAAGATTTATTAAAATGACGTCATCAACCGAATTCGGCGGCGATACGGAGGATTTGACAAAATGGACGGCGTTGAAACCACGTAAATTTTTAGAATCCGATTCGTCTTCCGATTTGCTGTCGTCGGGTGCAGCTGCAAGAGCTTTGAAATCTCGCGCGAGACTCGAAGATTTAGAATCGGAAATGCAAGCTTTGTCGGAAAAAAGCGCGGCGAGAGAAAAACGCGTTCGAGATTTAAAAGCTTTGGTACAAGAAAACGAAGCCAACGCCATTGACAATTTACAATCGACCGTTAAAATTTCTTCATCCATACAATCCGAAAAAAGGAAAGTTAATTTTTGAAAAAAAAAAAAAAACTCTCTTACCGAACGCACTTTTCCTTCACCCCCCTCCCCCTCCCCCACCCCCATCGCCTCCTCCTCCTCCCTCCTTCCCCACCCAACCGTATAAATACATAAATTGTATATTATGTACATCCTTTTATTTATTAACTTATTTATTTATACAATAAAAAAAAAAAAATGTTTTTTGTTTCGTTTTAAAAATTATTAATAATAAATAATTATTTTATTTATTTATTTTATTTATTTATTCCCCCCATTCTCATTTCACTAATAATAATAAGAAAAAAAACAAAATGGCCGACGCGAAGGATCCATCTGTAAAATTTGATTTATTTATCGTTTTGTAATTGTTTAAAAAAATAAAATAAAAAAAAAAAAAACCTTTTTTTGTTTCAGTGTTGCCAACTTTTTTGATAATAAAAAAAATTAACAACGGTTATAAAAATAAAAAACCTATACGTAATTGTTTAATAATGATAATAATAATACTAATAATATTTTAGTGCGGGTCACGGACAGAAATAAGAAAGAAAGAAAAAAAAAAGAAATATGGCGGACGCGTTGCCGAATTAATAATAATAATAATTGATTTTCTATTTGTGGAAGGAAGGTGAACCGATTGTGTGTGTTTTAGTAAACTAAATAAAATTTTGAAAAATTGCCAAAAAAAAAAAAAAAAAAAGAAAAAAAAGAAAAAAAGTTTTAATAAATTTACCCTACCTTCTACTGTTCCGTTCGTCCTGCTGCTGCTGTTGTTGTTGCCGTTGCAGGGTCACAAAATTATAACAAAAAAAAATTAAAAAAAAAAAAGACGGCGAACAAAAACACGCCAAAATATGTCGAAATAATTTGGCATTGAAAAAAAATTAAAAAAAAAAAAAAAATTTTCAAAACGTTATTACTTGAAAACGAATCGCACTGTCGCCATCTTCACTTTATATTGTCATCTGATTGAAATCACCTGACGAATAGTGTGACGTCATGTAATGTTTCCAACTTTTGACACTGATGGCGTTGCGATCGCCATTTATATTACGTAAATAAAACAAATATGTCGTCTGTGTGTTCGAGTCGATTGTATCGGAATGTTATTTTAATCGTTTGTTTTTTTTTTTTTTTTTTACTCATGTCAATTTAAAACCTTTTTGTCGTTCAAATAACATTTATTATTATTATTATTATAATTAATTATTTTATTCCGTACCTCTCGTGCGACATTCCTTCCCAAATGATTTTTCCCGCCATTTTTCCTCTTCATCCAATTACTTCCTCCTACATTCCTCTTCTCCCACCCTTCCCCTCCAAATCGTCTCCCGTGTGTATATTTCCTCTATTTCATCAATCAACCTTGAAAATCTACATTAATTTTAACTTTATTCAACGATCATAATAATAATAATAATAATAATAATAATCAATTAATGTGTCGTCGGTTTGAAAATTTTGTCACAACGTCACCAATAAATTTTTTTTTTTTTTGTTTTTATTTAACCTTGAAAAAATAAATTTTTTTTTTTATTTGTTCCATTGGCATTGAACGGTGTTATTATTATTATTATTATTTTAAATAACAAAATCATTTGTTTTCTCTCTCTCTCTCTTTCCATTATTCACCGAGTAATTATTAATTTTAATCTGCAATTAATTTAAAAAAAAAAAAAACTTCCCGCGCATTTTCCCATTCTTTTCACCCGTGATTAATAATAATAAAGTTTTTTTCAAGTGTCAGCAGAATAAAAAATTATAAAAGGTACCGTTTTTATTTGTTATTCAAAACGTGTTTTTTTTTTTAATCTAGGGGAAATGCATTTAGCACTGACCTCTCCCCACCTGGTAGCAGGAAGGAAGAGTGTGGGACTCAGTCGAAGCCACCACCAAACTAAAACTTTTTCTCGGAGGGGGGGGCGTCCGCGGGAGTACATCCTGCATTTCATCTTCAACCCCCCCCCCAGCCAGAACTATCAGGTCCACACTCGCGAAAGTTGGAATCCCACCCGAGGAGGGAATCCCCGGTACTTACCTTTCGAATGACAGTCTCGAACAGTTACCATCGTTCCTGCCTTTTCCGCAGAGTTTCCGGAGAAAGAGAGAGAGAGAGAGAGAGAGATGTCTGGAGTCGCGAATCCCGTTGATCGTTCATCTGTCTTCCTTTTACATCGCAGTTCTCCATTTTCCCTATTTTGAATATCAAGCACCCAGTTTCATCCCCTCGAACAAGGATCGAAGCATCCCCAATACCTTGAACTCCCACTTCCAGGAATCCCAGATCCCCGTCCTTAAAACATCCTCTATACCTTGCCTCCAAGTAGTTGGATTACAGGAGTGCACCACCACTCCCGGGATTCAAAACGTATCTTATAATAATGGTTAAAAATTTACAATTATTATCATCATCATCATCATCATCATCAAGAAATTCATTTTCCAAAATGTAAAAAAAAAAAACCTGGAAAATGAATCCCAGTTTTCCAGTAAATTTTAATAATAAAGAAGAAAAAAAAATGCGTGTGACGTCGATATGCGTAACGTTCACGACGACGACGACGACGACGACGATTTTCTTTTTCCCCTCCTGGCGAAATCGACACAATTGATAATAATAATAATAATAATAATAATGAAAAAAGACAAAAAAAAAATTATTTGAATTTTTTATTGTTGATTGAAGGCACGGGAGGGGAAAAAAATAAAATCCAAGAGTGGAAGGGGGAAATAAAATAAGAGGGGAGGGTGAGAATTAGTAATGCGAATGACTCTCTCAGTGGGAGAAGGGGAAGGAAAGAAATGAGGAGAAAAAGAGGATAGGAGAGGGGAGTGGGAAAATTAAATTAAATTAAATTTTTTTTTTGTTCTCTGTTGGCCGATTTCAAAAAAAAAAAAGAGATAATAATAATAATAATAATAATAATAATAATAATAATGATTTAAAAATTCAACGGTCAGTCGGTTCAAAGCTTTTGTCTTGTTTGTTTGCTGCCACGGCATTTTCCTCAACAGGTAAAAATTATTATTATTTTTTTATTTATTTTATATTTAATTTATTTATACGATTTTAATTACGAAAATATTTTTGTGTTGGGCAAAAATGGCGGGAAAATTAAATAATAATAATAATAATAATAATAATAATAATAATAGTCGAAAATAAATCGAATTTTAACGTTTTTCTTATTAATGACTTGATTTAGGTTCGTTTAAATTTTCTTTTTCCCCTCAATTTCGAATCAAAAAAAAAACGTAGGAATTTAACCTGATCAATTTGTTTTTTTTTGTCGCCAAAAATAAAAAACTGTCGCATTTTTGCGTGAAATTTTCAAAAAAAAAAAAAAAAAAAAAAAGGAAGAAGAAGGAAAAAATCAATTAAAACCGTTACGAAAAGAAAAAGAAAACGCGAAACGCGTGAAAATCCGTAAAAACGCGTGAAAAAAAAAACCCCGGGAGACCGTGGGAATTTTTTTTTTGTCAAAAAATCAATTTTTCATTTATTAAATCGTTTTTTTATATTTTTAAAAAAAAATAAAATAAAATAAAAAAATAAGAAAAAAAATTTTCCGCCAAACGGAATCGATCGACCGTAAAAAAAAAAAAAAAAAAAAAAACGGACACGTTGGAAATTTTTTTTTTTTTTTAAACATTTTTTGGCCGTCCGCCATTTTGAAAATTAGTAAATAATTATTATTAGTCGAATTATATTTAAGTAAGAGAATACATTTTACTTTTTTTGTTGTAATTAATTACAAAATGTCCGTGGGTTGTAAACTTATTTTTTTTTTTTTTTGTTATCGTGTCAAGAGACGTTACATTAATTATTTTTTAAATTAAATTCAAGAGACGTTTGTCTACATTTTTTTTTTTTGCTTTTGCTATTGTTAATTAATTCAATTTCAAATATAAATCAAAGCAAAAAAAAGGAAAAAAAAACTTTATAATGTAATTTTATATAATCTTTCTCTCTCTCTCTCTCTTTCTCCCTTACTTACTTATTTAAATTCATTATTCTATCGTTTTTTATTGTTAATTTCAAATTGTTTTTTATCTTTCTTTTTGGCACAAAAAATTTTATTTTATTTTAATTTTTAGAAATGTCGAGCCTAGACACGAGCAACGTTGAATTTAGAAGTAGAATAACAAAGTAAGTAATATTATTATTATTTTTAACAAAAAAAAAACTAGAAAAGTTTTTTTAAAATAAATTTTTTTTTAAATTTTCAGACATTGGGTGAGACCCAGATCAGCTTATTACAGTTATTTATACGATTATCAAAGGAATTATTACGATGACGTCATTGATTATTTAGACAGGAGGAAAAAAGGAATATATCGTGACATTCCGAGACCGCAAACATGGGCTGAAAGAGCATTGAGAACATATACACAAAAATATGGCGTTACGGAAAATGCAATGAGATCGAGAGACGATTATGATCTTCTTCACAGAGTTCATTTTGGAAGATTGATGCACGATTATCATACGAAAGATTATTTTGCTAAAAGATTTACATTATCACCCCTTTGATGTAATAATAATCCAATTGTTTCTATTTAATTTAGTTTTTTTTTTTTTTTTTTTTGTGAACATGGAAAAGGAAAAGAACCGACCGACCGACCGTCGAAGATCAAAATCCTCGCAGCCACTGTACCACCAACACCATCACCATCACCATCAACACCACCATCGCTACAAAACGTGGCAAAACGGCGCGATATTAATTTTTTAAATTTAATCAAATCTTTTATTATTATTTTACGTAGTGTATTTTCTCACCCCCTACCTCCCAAAAAAATTTACTATCAAAATTATTATTATTATTCGTTAAAATAAATAACTAAGTTTTTTGGAAATTTTTAAACTGTTAGAAATTTCCCTTTTTCTCCCCTCTCCCCTCGGGTAAATTCTTATTATCCCCCCTCGTATTATTATTATTATTATTATTATTATTATTACAACGAAAAGCGGAAACGTTAAATAAAAAAAAAAAATTACGAATTATAAAAAGCTGTGAGAAAATGGCGGCGTATATAAAAACATATAAAAAATAATAAAAAAATTCAAAAGAGTAAAAATAAAAAATTAGGATTTGTTTGTTGTTTGTTTTTTTTTTTTTTTTTTATTTTTTTATTTTTTGGATTCGTTATGATTCGTAAATGTAATAAATTTAATTCGTGTATAATTAAAAATGTCAATAATAATACAAAAGAATGTTCAAATGAAAAAAATAATAATAATATTATTATTATTAAAAAGAAAAGAAAAAAAAATTTATTATCGGATAAAATAATAATAAAAAAAAATAATAATAATAATAATAAATGTGTTATAAATACGAGTTGGGGATCGTTGATGAGAAAAACCAAAAATGATGATAATAATAATAATAATGTAAATGTTAATGAAAAAAAACCTTATCCGTCATTGTCAGCTGGTGCTATTAAAAATAAAATATCATTTATTAAATTATTCGATTATAAACAAAAAGGTGATTCTAACGAAATTAATAATAACAATGATAAAAAATTCAATTATGATGACGATGAAAAAAAATTAAGTGAAGTTAATAATACTAATACTAATACTAATACTAATAATGATGTTAATGTTGATGATGTATTGATGAAAAAAAAATTATTTAAAATAAGAGGACCCAATGATACTGGATTTTTAATTGAAGTCTATGTTAAAGATGAAAAAGAAGTTAAAAATCAATTGTTTAAATTAAATGGTAATCGATTTAAATTCGACTCGACGATAATTAATTTATTTAAAAAAAAATGTTTTCTTACTGGAAAATTACCGAGCAATACGAAAGATAAAACGAGATTGTCTAAAATCCATGGGATTGCATCTGGATGTGAAAACGTTTATCAAATCAACGATTCCGGTGAATTTTTATTTATTAATTCACTTGAAAACGTCGACAGAGCTAAAAGAATATTGGAAAAATTTCATTATTGTTTATCTCAAACAATTTATAAATTTCAACCGATTTCAAATGTAAAAACGAACGATCGTTTAACGGAAATTTGTCAAGATTTTATTAAATCCGTTAGAAATTTACCCAAAGTTTTATCGGTCACACATAATCTACAATTAAATACCGATGATGTAAATAAAATTATTTAATTTCAACAAACGAACAAACAAACAAACAAACAAACACATTACAGCACAAAATTTTTTTCTTTTTTTAAAATAAACAAATCGAATTGAATTTTCAAATTAAAAAAACGACGTAAATAACGACTTTTTGTAGTTTCACCCATACTTATCATACGTAACACACAGTTATCTTATTGATTATAATTGAAACTTTTCGAACGCGCACGCATGGAATGGCCAACTTAAAAAAAACTAATTACGACGTGGTAATAATAAAAAAGTCATAGAGTAAAAAAAACAAGAAAAATACGAAATGACGCGGAATGACGTCACCGTAAACAAAAACAAAAATTGAAATGTAAACAAAAATTTTAAATAATAATTGGTATTTTTTTAAATTAAATTAAATTAAATTTTTTTTTTTTTTGTTTTTTTTTTTTAATTTTCGGTTTTTGATTTCGAATAGAAAAAAAAAATAATAAAAATTCTAAAATAAATTGTTTTCTTTTTTCTAAATTAATTAAATTTTTCGGATTTTTCTTTCTTTTTTTCGGAGCGAAAATACAACAAACGTGAAAACAAAAACAAAAACAAATAAGTAAAAACGTTCAAATAGAAAAAAAAGAAGATAATAATAATAATAATAAAATCGTTAAAAATAAAAAAAAATCAATGAGATCTTCCCTACCGAAAACTGTTAAAAATCATGAAAAACCGAATGCCGAAATCATACAAATCCGCGGTCCCGGAAACAGTGCGTTCCTTATTGAAATGGAACCGTCAAAAGATGTTTACGAAATAAGATTTTTATTGAAAAATTTTATTTTATCCAAACACAATTGCAAATACGAAGATCAAGGTATAACCCAATTCGATAGAAAAGGTTACGTATTGACGAAAAAAATTTCGGATTTTGAAAAAGCATCAAGGAAAGCCATTTATCAAATGAGACAACTTCAATGCGAAGGTGTCGTACCCTTGAAAAAAACAAAACAATTTAAATTTATTTGTTCGCCCGGACGTATATTCGTAACCGCTCTTAAATTATCCCTCATGAATTACGAAATCGAAAGTTCCGGCGTTGAATATTATCCGAAATACGTTGTCGGTTTGAAGAAAAAAGATCAAGTCACTTGCGAAAAATTTTTAAGAGTCATGAGACAATTGCCTAACATAATTTCAATCAATGATAACATTCAGAGAGATTTGACGTGAATAATCAACTATTACGTCATCATCATCATCATCATCATCATTATCGTCGTCGTCGTCGTTGGTATCACCGACAAGCTAAGAATTCGTTAACGAAACTAAGAGAAGAGAAAAAAATAATTTTTTGACCTGATGACGTCACACACACCCACTCTTCGTATATATTTTACGTGACGTCACACGTGTTAATCCAACGTATATAAGAGATCGATCACATTTCTCTTGTGATCTCTCTTTAATTTCTCTCTTTCTCTCTCTTTTTTTTTTTTTTTTTTTTTTGGTGGAAATTCGAATCCGAGGTAAACCAACAATATTATATATATTTGAAAATGATTACGATTGTAATTGCAGACGACGGAAATTCCTCTAAAATTTTTACTAACATTTAATTGATCATTATTGATTTATTTATTTATTTATACTTTTTTTTGCGATGTTCGTTCGACGGATTTTTTTATTTTTTCGTTTGATGGAAAATGGCAGAACCCTTAAATTCTTCTTTTATTATTAAAAAAGAAAAAAAAAAAATTTTTTTTTTCCACGTAATTTTTCGAGGCTAAAAAAATAAAAAAAAAAATTCGTATGTAACGTTTAGTTTTTAATTATTATTATTATTATTATTATTATTATTATTATCGTTTAAAATAATATTAATTATTAATTATACTCAAAATAATACTTACGTGTCAATTCAAATAAACAAACAAAAAAGCGACACAACACAAAATCAAGATGGTGAAAGAAAATTTTTATAATTATTAATTATCATTATCGCCATCTTTAGAACAACATCTTCATCACAATCTCCAAAACAAACAATAATTATTTCAAATTGATTAAACGTTTGTTTCTACCCCGTTTTCTAATTAACTAAAAAAACATAATCGAAAGTTTTTATAATTCTAACAACAACAACAACCACATGATTCCTTCGAAACAAAAACAAACAAAAATCCCCTCGTTCGCTAATTCACAATCTAACAAACAAACGAACGAATAATATAACAATAATAATAATATTTTAAAAAAAAAAGGAGTTATTAAAATAAATTAATATTTTTCCCCGCCTTTTCTTTAAAAAATAACCGTCAATTTAAGTGACGTCACAATCGCGTAACCGTTATTTATTATCGATAATCGCCTTGTTTTAATAACAACGAATCAATATCGATAATAATAAATTTTTTAAATAAAAAAAAAAATGATGTTTTACATGATTTATTTATTTATTTATAAAACGAAAGCCGTAAATTTATTTATTTATTTATATTTTATACATTAATAAAACTAATAACATCGAATTTCAAGTTTTTTTTTTTTTTAAATTTATTTTTATTTATTTATTTACTTGTTATTATTATTATTTTAATTAATTGATTGACGTTATTTATTTATTTATTTACGTAATTTTTAATAAATTAATGAAATTTTATTAAATTTTTTTGGTATATCTTGTGCAAATAATTATTATTATAAACAATAATTTTCTTTTCCCCCCTTCCCGATGACGTCGAATTTTTCACGATAATAATAATAATAATAATAATAATAATTTATCTATCTCGGTTGTTTTTGTAGTCGTGGTTGTTAACAATAATAATAATAATATACAATCAATATAATTTAATTAATTTTATTATTATTATTATTTTTTTAAACACAAACAATCAATGACGTTGTCTTTTTTTTTTTCTTAACATTATATATAAATAACTTTTAAATTTTATTTAAATAATTAAAAAGTATCAGAAGATATAATAATAATAATGATTAAAAATATTATTTACACATAATTTATATAATAATTATAATAATAATAATAATAATAATAATAATAATAATAATCAAATTAAAAAAAAAAGAAAACAAATTATTAATTTTACTTTTTTTTTTGTGCTTCCGTATATATATTTATTTAAATTTTCCCGCCTTTTTTTTTTTTTTAATTAACCCGTGAATAATTCCTAGAATGTGTGACAAGAAAAACTTAAACAAATGGAGGGAAAAAGATAAAATAATAATAATAAGTCGTTTTATTTAATTTTTTTCGTCTTTTTCTTCTTCTTCTTCTTCTCCACACACACATTTCCGTGATTCAAGATGGCGGAAAAACAATCGTTAAGTATATTTTTCCCTGCAACCGGGGAAATTTTTTCCCTTTTCTTTCTTTGTCTCTTTCCTCGTAATGGCGAGTATGTTATTTATAAACGAAAACGAACTCTTACGATTTACTTTTTTCTTTTTCTTTTTTTTTTCTTTAATGGCAGCCATAAAAATTTTTTTTTTGTTTTGTGTTTTGTCGTGAGAAAAAAAAACAATATTAAACATAAATATATATATTGTTATATTCGGTTCGTTCTTTATTTTTGTAAGTAATGAACAAGCACTTAAAACTATCACAAAACTAATATTAATAAACAAGAACTTATTACAGCTAGACTAAAAATCAAATGAACCAACGCCAAGCTGTGTAGCTTGCCTATATTACTTTGGTCTTTCGACAGTCAACTGTTTCGAACGAGCAACAATGGGAACTAGCAAACACTTGCAAATAAAATAAAAGAAGGAGTCTTTAGAAGCTTCGCTTCTAAAGAAGAACAATTTGAGTTCGTCGCCAGTCTTTTGTTTATAAAAAGTAGAAAATGTGAATATTGAGTACGGGATCATAACACCTCCCCCCTTAAGACGGAAAACAATTATTTTGAAAAAAGAATTTGTTTTCTCCTCTTGTTCGGATTTGACAGTTTCCTATGTCGGGTTCTGAATGGTTCCGTCCAGGTTGAGACTCCTTGAGTAGTAGTAGGTGCTATGTCTTCTGTATGGTAGACTGTTGTATCTCTTCACATTGGCTCCTTATCAGGAACATAATTTTAAGCTTTATAGCTGCAAGTAGTAGAACCTTTCCTAGGCAATACTCGTTAGTGAACAATGTTTCATAAAGAGTAAAGATAAAAGAATAAAATCAAGAGACATGAAATTCGAAACAAAATTGACATAAGTTCTGAAAAATACAAGAATTTTATATAGGGTACATAGAAAAGAATAAATGGATTAATAATAAAATAAATGATGATTAGCTATATGGGAAAATAAAAGGATTAAATTATTATTATTTTGGATTTCTCTCTTTTTAGATCAACTACTCAGAACACGGTTTTGCGATAAGTAACTTCCTTGTTACGGGTTTTTAATAAAACGTTTTTGCCAGATTTTTTCTTGACCTCGTATGGACCCTTAAATTTAGGACTAAGTTTTTTATTTAGATTTCCTCTTGCTAATTTTTTACTGGTTTGAATCTTCTCTTTTTCATTAGGCGATAGGTGAACTTTACTTAGTAAAAATAGCTTTACCTCAGGAATACTCTCTTCGTGAAAGTCGGTTGACATAAGAATGGATGCTTTCTTCCTAGATTTCTTGGTACTGGAATTCCATTTCCGCTTTTTAGTATGCTTCCCAAAATTATGCTTGTGAATTTTTTTTGTAGCTCCTATATTTTATTTGAAATTTTTGTTTCCTTTTGAATTTCAGCTTTAGGATGATTTTTAGGTTTTGAATTCTGTATGGATGATCTTTCTTCTTTTACTTTTAGACCTTTTTTCTTATTTTTATTTTTAGGAAGTAATGGTGCTTCTTTAGCCTTTTTCTTAAATAAATTTGTAGAGGGTGCTTCTTTAGCCTTTCTCTTAGATAAATTTGTAGAGGGTGCTTCTTTAGCCTTTCTCTTAGATAAATTTGTAGAGGGTGCTTCTTTAGCCTTTCTCTTAGATAAATTTGTAGAGGGTGCTTCTTTAGCCTTTCTCTTAGATAAATTT